TCGAGCTTCCATACTGTTCAACCGAGTGTCAACAATGTGGCCGCCGCTCATACCACCGTTCGTCATGGGCCCATTACCAAGATTTCCGCCTCCCATATTAGCCGTAGGCATGCTCGGGGTGCCCATCGAGGGCACGCCGTTGCCCCCAAGCATCGATGGGCGGCCACTTTCTATCGCGTCAAGTCGCTTCTCCATGTTGTCGATTCGCGCCATAATGGTAGAGACATTGGCCTCTAGCCTCTGAAAGCTCGTAGTCTGATCGTGCTGCAACCGGTCAATTTTGTTGGTGATGCTGCGGATGCTTTGTGCGATGGGGGTGTTTTCCTGTCCTGGCACAGCGGCGGGTATACGCGGCTCATGGTTGTGACGAGCCTCCTGAACTGCAAATCGCCACTGGTTGCCGAGATTGACTTCACAAACCGCCTTCGCGCGCCAGGGGCAGTCAACCTTGCGAGTGCTGGGGTTACGCTTCTTCGCGGTGCTGCTGTACTTGACGCCGCCGCGGTCACATACGAGGTCGTAACGCGTCGGTTTGCCCTCACGGTAGTTGCTGGCACGCAGCTTGACAACTCCGTAACCCTGATCCTTGGCAACCTTTTGAACCGAGGCCAGCAAATCCTCAAAGGTGCGATAGATACCCTCGGGTGGCGGGGCCAACGCGGGCGCGGGTGAAGGGGGCGGCATTGTGGACTGCGCGGTCGAGTTCGTCACGGGTTGCGTCCACCCGGACAGGTTGTTGTAGCCGGCGCTGGAGGTGGCCACGGTGACAGGGGAAGGGGATGAGTCGTTGGGAGCGGAGTGGTTGGGGTACGTGTTGAAATTGACGCGATCCGTAGTACTCGACGGGGCAACAGACGTACGCTGCTGCTGTTGCTGCTGTTGGGCCTGTTGGGCCTGCTGCTGCTGCTGCTGTACCTGTTGTTGTTGCTGCTGCTGCTGTTGCTGTTGCTGTGCGTGATGCTGAAGCTGGAGCTGCTGATGCTGGGAACGCTGCTGATGGTGTTGCTGATGGCTGGCACCGTTATCGCCGGTCAGGTTGCTGAGCGAGGTGAGGCCGGAGTTGTCGGGCTGGGGGGCGGGAGCGAGAGACGACGAAGGTGGATCGGGGTACTGTTGGTGTTGAGGAGCGTTGTAGCCGTTCATCAAGCCGTCAGGGTCGGCCGGGACCTGGTGGGATCTGGTGTCGAGCTGTTGCGATGCAAAGGTGGGAGGTTGAGCAGACACCGTGTCGGGGTGGGCGCGCACGGCCTGCGGATGCTGGTGCTGGTGCTGGTGCTGGTGCTGCACCTGGACCTGCTGGTGATGGGCTTGGTGTGGGTGAGCACCGGGGTGTGGCTGCTGGACCTGGTGGGTTTGGTGGGCGTGCTGCGAGTGCTGAGGGACACCGTGCTGCACAGTGTGCTGCTGGTGCTGGCTCTGGACGGGGTGCTGGCCCCAACCTTGGCTCACCGGGACTACTCCAGGGCCCTGTGCGGCAGCAGCAGCGCTGGCACCATTTCCGGCGTCAGGGACGCGGGTCGTGCGAGAGGGGCGCTTGCGCGAGCGTTGTGGCTGGGCGTGGGCTTCCATTGGCGACAGACAGACAGCAGCGACGGGCTGTCTTTTTGTCCAGCACGAGAAGACGAAAAGAAAGTAAGCAGGACGGCTGGTATAGAGGTACGGCACAGGCTATGCGAGACGGGGGGGACGCGAGAGCGAGGGACTGCCGTGGATCTCCGTACAGGTTGTACGCACTGGAACGGAACAGGAAGCAGAGCGCGCGGGCGGGCAGATGGAAAGGACAAGCTGCTGCCGTGGTGGTGGTGCTGCTGCTGCTGCTGCTGCTGCTGCTGCTGAGTGGTCTGGTGGTGGTGCTAGGTGCAGTGAGATGAGAGCAATGGAAAGATTGTTGGTGCTGTCTGTGGTGACCAAGCCAGTCGCAGCCAGTGGAGGGATACTGTGTGCAGTTGGGGTAGGTCGTGCTTGGTGCTTGGGGGGGACAGGTCCGTGGTAGGCGAGTGGGCGGGCAGGTGGGATGAGCGACAGGTAAAAGTAGTACTGTGTGTAGCACTCACAGTGGGCAGACTTGGACGATTCCTTGGTTGCGAGACTTAGTTGCAAGACAAGTTGAACTTGGTCGAGACCTAGAGGCAAGGTATGACTTGAGCGAACTGAAGCCAGAACCACTCGCTACTTGCAAGATAGACCGCAGCCCGTCTCTTTCTTGGATGCGTCGTCGAGTGCCTCGATTCGATGCCGGGGCCTTTTTGCCTTGCTGGAGATCAACGTCGTGCACTCGGATGAAGGTCGTTCCGTCTCGGACGCTTTTAACGGCCTAGACTTAGCTGTCTGTTTGTGAACCACGCCCCGGTAATGTCTGAAAATTTGATGAGCAAAGTTTGATTGAGAAGAAGGTGGCTTGCCCTCGCTCCTCTTTCCCATGGAAGTTTCCCTCCGGTTATTTGCTAGCACAACAAGGCAATTCCGCGAAAAATTCATCCATATGAGCTTGGGCCACCTTTGGGATCCCACGCAGTGAGAAGGAACATTCCCGTACCAACTGCCCGCTTGCCGCCCTCCACCACGCACTCCTGCCAAACCCACAGCGCGCGCACCCTCTTGGCCTTTTGGCCCCCCCGGCAAGCCCAGCCAAATGCATCCAAGCCGGATCACTAGCTCGCTCCAGGCGCAAGGAAAACAAAGCCTGGGCCCGCACACCGGGGCCTTGGTGCTTTGTATGTATCTGTAGATGTACCTTTCCCATCTCAACCTAAATGTCCACCTCTTGCCAGAGACACCCGTTCGTCACCACCCGACAACCGACACACCCCCTTCCCTTTTCCAAGCTCGGCCCTTCCCTCTGTCTTGCGCTTCCCGCACCGACTCTCCAAAAGACGCCCCTCTTCCGTCTACACTATCGATCCATCAGCCACGACTTTGCACCAATCCAGAGCTCTGGACATCACACCGCATCCTCCCTTTTCTTTGTTTCTTCTTTCTCCGTCCGGCCAGACCCCCCCCCCCCCCCCCCCTCCTTCTCTTCCCACGCAGCACGCGATTCAATCATTCAACGACAGCTGCCCGTGAATTACCTAGGTACCTAGAAATAGTACCGCTACACGGGGCGCCTACGCAGTACGCTACGCTATCCTACCTTACGCACCAGGCCGTAGCCCCCGAGACCACCTCAGCCAAGCCGCGTGCCTTTTCTGGTGATTCCGCATCCATTCTCCTTCCTTGCTCAACACCCTGGTCCCTGTCGAGGTTCCCGTTTCCTGGTCGAGCTGACGTTCACCAACCGTCCCGCCTGGCGATAACAACGACTGGTTCAAGGGCCTGATATCCATTCCCACCATCGCTCGGGACCGACTGCGACTTGTCAATCTCTGCCCCACCTGACATATCCCGTCCGTATCGGTGACTGCTGCCTCCGTTATTAGCTTCGCAGCCCCCCTCCAACTGCGCCTGGGCTGTGAGAGTTGGCCTCGGAGTGTTCGTTGCGGTGCCCTGTGATTCAACAGAGGACCGGATGCGGAACTGGATCGCCATTGCATTTGGCATTCCATGTTGTTTCGCCGTCTTCCCCCTCTGGATTATCACGCCTGCTGTCACGTTGTGCTTCGCTACGCGTTCTAGAACCTTGCGGTCCGAGCTGCTTGCACCCCAAGGACCCGTCGCTGTGCCAGCACAGGAGCGCATCCTCGATAGCCGCCATGGCAAACAACCACACGCAAACGCCCAAAGATGCTAGTTTCCAGGAAGAGGAGCGTCTCGAGGATGCGCTCGACTACCTGAACGAGCTGCACGTGCAGGCAAGTCAGAGACATACCGGTTATCGTCCCCTCCGTGGATCTTATTCTAACTCGCCATCTTTGGGCCAACAGCTTCAGCGTCTTCGCTCTGCCATACCGCGCATGTTTCACCCCATGGCCGTGAAGTCATCCACACGTATGTGCTATCTTCCGCCCGATGGGCAAACACATTCGGACACCCATAGCCCTATCCGGGGCATTTCGCATAGCTAACATTGTCACTAGCCCAGAATACATTCGCCGCATTTTCAGATGCGGTGCAAGACACGGGGAAGGAAATTCGCCAGTTCAAAGACACTATGTTAAGCAGCGAGAGCGAAAAGGTCTTCAACATGGCCAACGAAAGCCGGCGAGCAAATCCCATGGGAATCAAGCCATGGAGAGCTAGGGACGATCCCGAATGGACGACGAGAAAGAGGAGAAAGCTGGACAACGGGCTCAAGCAGTCTTGACGAAGAACGATGGACCACGACACCAGCATATACATGCTTTTTGACTCATATAAATTTTCCTTGATAAGGGCTGGGATTGGCTTCTGGAGTATGGGATTGGCGCCGGGAGTTAGGGTCGGTTTGGGAAGACATGATTGCGATTCTAGTGGGCTGCTCTGGTAATACCCAACGAGTTATCAAGTAGCAGCATAGAGGGATTTCTGGGCGCACAGTTCTGGCATGGGAATAGTTGGCTGCGTTCATATCACCTGGAAGGATGCAGTGAAAACTGAAGCGGTCTGAGAAGCAAAGTTACGATTGCGATTGGTCGTTATCTCACATGTCGATCGAGGCAAACATTTACTAGTCACTAATAAACGGAGGGGAGGATGCGAAGTGGTGCGTTCTTACATTGGGGTGCAAAGAAAACTGGCATGGCTGACGTTGATAATGCGGTAATGCGGGCTGATGCCAAGGCAGATTTAGTAGAGCCAGCGTTGTCGTTGAAGGTTCACATTCACAGACTATCGATTCCTCGTTGTCACCATGTCTTGCAACAAAGGGGCGGGTGACGTGACGTGACAGCTGGTGCGTGCTCAAGTTGATAGTTGAAGGTGGACAGTGCACCCTGGCAGCTGGCTTCATTCGTTTTAATCGGCCTTTAGCCTAGTTGTCTGGTGCTCATCCACAAAATGGCTGAGAGCTAGAGCACCAGCCACATCATTACTTAAGCAGGATTAGCCAGCTTTCGCGGACGGCACTGGGCGGCAGCACCGCGCACTGGGGCTGGGTGGGGCTTGCGCTGGGCGCCCGCACAGAAATTTCCTAACCACCAATCTTCAAAATTCATCCACTTCGCAGTCGTGAGCGATAGTTTTGCAGCATCGAAACTCGACAGCAACACCGCAGCAATGGCGTCTTCTCGTGTCACCTACCGCCGCCGCAACCCGTGAGTTTTGATCATTTTTAACATTTCCATGAGGAGAATTGCTGGAAAAAGGGAGAACACGATGGGCTAACTTTTTGTCTTTTCTTCACACAACAGCTACAACACCACGTCTAACAAGACGCGGATTGTTAAGACCCCTGGCGGTCAGCTGCGTGTTCTGCACATCAAGAAGCGCGGTACTGCTCCCAAGTGCGGTGACTGCGGCATCAAGCTCCCTGGTGTAAGTTATCACACTTTTTGGCGATTTCGCGAAGCAGAGAAACTGGGGAGATGAGGTGGGGGGAGTACCGAACGGCCAAACGATTCGACCGACTTGCGCGAAGAACGAACCACGTCCCAACGACCAAACCACGGAAGATTTACAAACTTGGGAGGACTGAAAGCAAATACGCTGCCCGGCAATGGTGGGGGATGGAGAGGACTGTGACGGCGACGACTACAGCGAGAACGGCAGAGACGAGATTGTGACCGACAACGTGGCCCGGCCCCCCCAGCATGACGGATCTTGAAGGAGGAATCATGGATTACCGCAACGACTGCGACGCGCCGAAACACATATGCTGACGGAGCCTTTGCTATCACACAGGTCCCTGCCCTCCGCCCCCGCGAGTACGCTCAGCTCTCCAAGCCCAAGAAGACTGTCCAGCGTGCCTACGGTGGTTCCCGCTGCGGCAACTGCGTCCGCGACCGTGTCGTCCGTGCTTTCCTCATTGAGGAGCAGAAGATCGTCAAGAAGGTCCTCAAGGAGCAGAGCCAGGCTGAGAAGTCCAAGAAGTAAACAAGTTAAATTGTCAGCTTTCTTTGGGTCTTTGTCTTGGGGGAAATCAACAAATATGGTTGCGCAAGGTTGACGGTCTCATTGCTTCGGTGTTCAATTGGGAAAAGGGGGCTGCACAGCATTGCGATGCCATAACACAGCAACACAATACAGCCGGGGATTTATCGGTTGTCTCTTGTTCTCTTAGGGCTGCTTTCTCACCCGGAATGAGGTTCCATCAATGAAACTGGACTTCAAGCCGTGCTCACACCGACCGAACCGAACCTGGGCAATGCTGCTGGGAGGAGATGAACAGCCGCCTAGGCGTTGCCCTGCCTCTGCTATATCTCTATATATCTAGATTTGGCTTAGGATTTGGAGGGCGTCCAGGCGTCCGTGGATGACTGCAAGACGATGAACCGCAAGACACTCAATACGACCGCCAAAAATTTGTGCAGCAATATCGGGTTTACGTGATAATGATAATACCCCAGTTTAAGTGCTTGTTTATCAGAATGTTCACTTGTTCCTCAGTTACGTTGTGGTGCTCGATTAGAAACTTTCCCCTCCAGTCTGTGTCATCTGAAAAGGGGGTTAGTTTGGGCATGCACCACCCGATCTTTGGCTAGCGAGAATATGACGTCGAGGCCTCATCGATTTCTTATTTTCAATCCCCAGTTATGAACACCTTACCTTCTCAAAACATCAACCTTACATATCCCACCACTCATCACCCCCCGAAAAGAAAACGTACATGCCAACGCGATGACATTTTCAATCAATTCCGTGCGCTCAACGGTCCTCCGCTATGCTGTTCAGCGCACAACAGCGTTGACTCTTCCCACCCCGCGTGTCTCAATCTCCCGCCCAACTTCATTCTCACCCTCACTTCTCATCATCAGCGCCACCACCACCAACCACAACGATGCCACCACCCTCTTTTCACCCGGTGTCAGACGCTTCACCACCACCACCCCTCAAGCCGCCAAACAGAAGAAACCAAAACTAGCCCACAACAACGAACCCGTTCCCGATTCTCCTCCCACCACCGACTTTGGCGAGATGGACATGCTAGGCCAGACGCCCGTCCCGTCCACGGCTATAGACGAGTGCTTCCATGATGGGTTTGCGCTGAACAGTGGGGTGCAAGTGACGGGGGGCAGTGGGGTGTTGTTGGTGGGTGGTGAGGCTTTTGAGTGGAGGCCTTGGGCGGTTGTTGCTGGTACTGGTACTGGTACTGGTACAGGTGCTGAGGGGGAGATGGGAAAGGCGGCGATACCACCAAAAAGGAAGCTTGTGAATGAAAAGGGCCAGTGGGATGTGTCGAGGGAAGAGCAGTGGGGGTTTCTGGGAAGGTTGTGGCCTCGGCCTGGTACGTCTTTCCTTTTTTTTTTTTTTTTTTTTTTCTTTCTTTTTTTTTTTTTTTGTCGTATCCTCCTCTCCCAATGACAGTGGGATTTATGGCTACCTACATACATTAAGGAATAAGGAACAACAACAGAACTAAACATTAACTCCTACCCAATGAAAAAAAAAACAGACCTCCTGATCCTCGGCGTCGGCCCCTCCCTCCGTCCCCTCTCGCCTGCTACTAGAGCCCTGATCAACAGCATGGGCATCCGCGTCGAAGTGCTGGACACGAGAAATGCGGCATCGCAGTATAACTTGCTAGCGACGGAGAGGGGAGTGGATCAGGTTGCTGCTGCGTTGGTGCCGCTTGGTTGGAGGGAGTAGGTTGTGGCTATGAGAGATCTGGGCAAGGTTGGGGAGTGGTAATGGTTATGAGGATTATGAGGGGTGGGGGAGAGGGCGAAAGTATATGTATGTGGAAGTGACATTTGACTTAGGATGATTGGCTGGTAGCGATGGTAACCGGACTCGGTGTCCATTCGGAGTCGAGGCAGAAAGACAGAGCTCCATATGCTGGGGAGGATATGGTTCCGGTGGTTGACAGAACAAAACAAGACAGACCCGAACAGGACTCGATATCGTGGGGAGATGATATACGAGGTAGAGGAACAGATTAGATTAACTACAGTTAGCCAAGTATAGAAGAGTGTGGGGTGTATGATGTTATTTATGTATTTTGTTGGGTAAATTCGCTCCTCTGTCATCATCTTTGGCCTCTACGAGTTACTAGCGAGTTGTTCTCTGAGTCTTTGTAAATTGTTTATTTGGTCCTCTGTAAATGCCGGACTTTGCCTCCTTGCTCCGAACCAGGGGGAGTAGGTATTTCGACATTTGTTATATCGTTAGGATACCGAGATCAAGGAGACAGGCAGGTGCACCGCTCAACTCGATTTGTAAATTGCATCCACTTTCGTTGAGGTTTGTTGACTTCTGGTTCAGCCATTCGAATGTAAGGAAAGCTCTTAGTAATGATCTTAAAGGCCAACGGACTCTGAGCATTTGATACATAATGGTTCACTATATAACATCACTTATGAGCCACGTTGATGACAACTTCCAAGATAGCTCTGTCCATAGGTCTATTCGCGGCAAAACTGCTACTCAAACATGTGATTGTGCAAGGCTATGCTCGCCTCCGTTAACCATATTCCTACATAGACCACCTTGTGTGGCCAGTGCATATCATTCTTTTTTGTTTTGTCTAATCCCGTACAGTCATGTCAGACACGCATAAGTCTACATAACAGAACTTTCCCGGTATGCCGTGACTTGTCCGAGGGTACAGATTCTTTTCCACACGACCTGATCTCTTTGATAGATCTAGAGCATATGCGAGAACCTAACCTTCATTTCGCGATCATTCATATCATGGCCAAGATCCTAGCTTGGCCAGTGGATAGCATTGAAAACGCCATGAACATTCGATCCATCTGTCGTCCTTTGCCGCTTCTAGTTGGCAGGGACAGTGGGGAACTCGACGGCGTTAGCCTGGGCCCAAGCCTCGAGGTTGGCGCGGGTGTTCTTGAGAGCACCGAGCAGACCCTGCTGGGTGTGGATGGCCTCGGCTCTGTGGACAGAGTTGAGGTTCTTGACCAGAGTCATCTGGTAGCAAGTGGCAGATCCCTGGCGAGCGATGATGGTAGAGTAGGCAAGGAAGAACTCCCAGATCTGAAGGATCGTGTTAGTCGTGAACGCTTGACAGTACGACGAATGGATATTAAACTTACGCGGAACCATCTCTTGCCGTACTTGGCAACAACCTTTTCACGGTTGGCCATCCAGTTGCGGTACCACCTCCAGAGAGTAGCAGAGTAGTGAACACCAATGGTATCAACAGCGCGAACCTCGAAACCAGCCTTCTCGAACTGATCAATGTACCAGCCGAGAGGAGTAGAAGCGTCAGCACCGGGGAAAATGTGCTTGTTCATGAAGAGACCCCAGATCAAATCCTCGTACTGCCAGCTCTTACGGAGACCGGCGAGCTGGAAGACGGCAATACCATCATCATCGAGCATGTTGTAGACCTGCTTCATGAATCCCTTGAAGTGGCGGACACCGACGTGCTCAGCCATCTCGAGACAGGTGATCTTGTTGTACTTGCCCTCGGGAACGGGGATATCACGGTAGTCCATGCACAGAATCTTGCTCTGCTCCTCGGGAATGCCAGCGTTGCGGAGAGCCTTGTTACCCCAGGCGGTCTGGTTACGGCCGAGAGTGATGCCGGTAGCCTTGACACCATAGTTGACACTGGCGAAGCGGGCGAGGGTACCCCAGCCACAGCCGATATCGAGCAGTCTCTCGCCCTCCTGGAGGTCAGCCTTCTCGCAAACAATGGCAAGCTTGTTATCCTGGAGCTCCTCGAGGGTCTCCTCCTTGTTGGGGTCCGAGATGATGCCAGAGGTGTAGATCATACGGGGGCCAAGGAACCAGGAGTAGAAGTCATCACCGCGGTCATAGTGGTCGCGAACCTGCTCCTCATCTGGTGGCGCCAGCTCGTTAGCACAGTGTTCAAGACATGGCTTGGGCAGCAACGGAAGAAGGCGGAGACATACCCTGGGAACGAGTGTGCATGAGAACCTCGGGGATCATGCCAGTAACGAAGAACTTGATCAGGCCATAAGTGAAGCGGAAGCTGGCCCAGTCGTGGCGGTACTCCATGATGTCGAGAGCATCGCCGTTGAAGTCAACCTCCTCGTTGAAGTACATCTCGTGGAAGGTCTCCATGGGGATCTTGTTCTTGCCGCTGTACTTGAGCTTGTCCTCGGGGTTCTTGAAGGTGAGGTAGTGCTCCACCGGGCGACCGGGGAACTTGGCCTTTTCATTCTTGCGCGGGGAGAACATGGAATGGGCCACCCAGAAGCCGGCAAGCAGGGGGACAGTGGTGAAGAGGGCAAAGAAGAGGGTGGTCTTCAAGCCACCGCCGACCTTCCATGAGAAGTAGTAGGGGACACCGAAGAGGATGCTGAAGAGCGCAAGGTTGGAGAAGCTCTCGGTACCGGCAGCATCGGCGGGCAGCGGGGCATTCTTGATGGCGGGGAACTAGCACAGGGAACCGAGTGTTAGCGAAGCTCTACCGGACGCGTTGTTGAAGCGCGTCTTTCCAACACAGCAAGAGAGAGAGAGAGAGAGAGAGAGAGAGACATACAGTGGTGGTGCGAACACCACACTCCTCCTTGGGCTTTTCGGTGTTGGAGGGGGGCTGCGCGGGAGTCTCGACGAAGGTGTACGCGGGACTCGCGCCGCTGACGCTATGCGACTCCGACATGATGACAGAAGCTCGCCGCAGAGCAATGCGGTACGGACTCTGTGTGGTTGTGGGGGTAAAGAGAGGTGTGTACTTTGGGATCAGGAAGATTCCAAGTAGTACATGGAGAGGGAAAAAAAAAAAAGAAAGAAAAAAAAAAAAACAAGACTGAGGAGAGAAGAGGAGGGGGTGGTTCGTTTTGAGGACACTACTACGTGACAGGTCTCCAGCAAAAGATGGGATGAACTTGGAGCTAGTGCCCGGTTATGCCAGTGTGTCCCGTCCCATGTCCCAATCCCGGGCAGCTTAGTTCTGAAGCCGCCGCCGCTCTGTGTGTGGCCTGTGGTCCCAACCCAATGAGTAAACTACCTCTACACTACAACTTCCTCAGCAACGGTCTTTGCCCCGCCCCATTTGATAGTAGGTACAGTAGTACATGCTCTCACGCGTTCTCACTGGAGGTGCGCCCGGCTGGACCCCTAGGTCTCGCTGCGAGGTGCATGAGCTACTGGGCGGTGTGGATGCGTGGCTGGGATTGGGACAGCTGGCCGGCCACTTGATGTGGGGTTGTAACTGAACCCATTCGCCAGTCTGAAGGAAGATGGGACCTGAAGCTGTGCCTTGGCGGGACGGGACGACACCACGAACAATGGGCAATGGCATCAAACAGGACAGGTATTGTTTACCTACCTACCCACCTACCTACCTACCTCTAGGTACCTACTCAATCATCCATTGT